GAATTTTGCATGAAACTTTTACAGGATAAATAGGTTAAAAATAAAAGTTCAAGTTTTTCTGAAGCATTGTTATTGTTGATGCTGTATATCTTGTTTCTGCTATTCTGCATTTCTTTCTGGGATTATTTTCTTATTCTGAATAATTTAAAAATGGACCAGCAAGAAAACTCAGTTGGACTAAGCATTTTCAAGGAGCAAATTAAAATGCAATTATTCTGAACTGTATATACTGTAGTTTTCATATAAACGTTTGAGTGATAATGAAAGAAAACTTGCAAGACGTTCAAAGTAGGATTAGATGTTACCGCGTGCTTTTTCTGTCATTTTTTGAGTGAGAAAAGTATTATTCTTGGAGAGAGGGAAGGATTTTTTTGTTGATTTTTGACTCCTCGTGGTCCACTGTTCTCTTTTCCTTATCAGAAGCTGTTCTTCAGTAATTTGTCATGAATGACAATGTAAATGCTTTTTGGCAATGTTTCTATTAAATTCTCTCAATTCTTTGGCTAGGTATACATCTGACAGCAGGATCCTGCCATTTCTTGTTGACCATCTATTTCATATTGTTGGAGACAAAGCCAAAGCAATGTCTTGGAGTGTTGTAGTACATTGTAAATTTTTTATGATGTTTTAAAAGTTAGTTAAATTGGCTGTCAGTTTGTCACCACCTGATGTTTGTTTAATTGATTGACACGAGGGAAATTTCAGCTTGCAACTTCACAAAACTGAGATGGACTTTCCCTCACCATGTGCATATATTAAATGCTTATTGGAACGTACTGACTGTTGCACACACATACATAAAACAGCCAAAAAGCTGAAGCCAATATTTTGGCAACTTACAAATCCAGTATGTGTTTTCTAAAATGAAAATATATCATCCAGAACAACACTTTCAGAGCAAAGAAACACCGCAGTATCAAATAATCACAATGGGGTATTTAATCTAGATCAAGTTAAAATAGCAATATGAAAAATACTATAATCATATACTGTACCTTTTACTGATACCAGGCTAAAAATATGCCTTTTTTTGGACATGTTCTGCACCCTTCATTTTCAAAACCAGGTGATTGTTCTCTATTAATTCTAAAATATATCCTATTGGTAAAATTCATAAACTTTTTTCCTACACTCTTGTTAAAAATTATTGTTCTGTTAACTGTTAAGCCATTCTTAGGATGACAATGTGTCATTCCTAAGACTTCCAACGGTGATCTAGCCTCTCTATCCAAGAGTATAGCCATCAGAAGCAAAATGCTTAAATTCTAATTATTCATGGCTCATGTTGTTTTTGTCTGAGTACCATAGCTGAAAGAAAGCAGGGAGAAGCTGATTAGTTGGATAAGATATGCTTTCACAGGCTCTTCAATAGTAGCTGTAAGAAGAGAAGCACTTAATTTCTAACCTTTTTCCTGGAGAATGTACAACGCAATGGGAACTCTGAAGCATTCTTACGAAAGCAGATCACTGTCCATCACTAGTGTCAATTTTTTCTGTGTTGGAGGAAGATTGTGAATCATCTTAAATGTATATTATTTTGTTTTCCATCAGTTTAACTTCAATTCTAAAAAAATATAACCAGAACTATTTGAAGCAAATAATGAAACAGAGTATTTATAAGCACAAAGAAGAAAACAAGATTAACGAGAGCCAATATTGATAACAAATCAAATGAATTGCCAAACCAATCTAATTTCATTCAGCAGAATGGTGGCAGACCTTCTGGCTAGGAAAAAATAGCTGTAGTTGACAGACTTCTTGTTTTTTAGTCAGGCTTTTGACATTGTTTTATAAATGTACTGTGCAGACTAAATGAAACAAATACAGAACAAATTGGAGAACTGTTATTGGGTATTATTTAGCCAATGTTAAAACAGTAGGTTATAATAAGTAGGGTTTTATGGTGTGGATTAGAGAAAAAAATTTATTATATTTATGGATGGCATGAAGTTGGGCAGGGTAGAAAACACGTTAATGAATAAAACCAGAATACAGAATGATATATTGGATGAAAGATCAGAGGAAAAAATGATGAGATGCAATGAAGACAAAGGAAAAATTATGGCTATCTGATGACAGTCAGATGAACAACTTTGTAATAATCTTATATGTAAAAATCTTGGAACTGTTGTGGCTATGCAGGTGATTGGGAGATAACTTTAAGTGCTGTATTCTTGAACCACCTACTTCAAGAAAAAATGTTGAATTACTGAAGATAAGTAATTACTATAGTGAAGGCAAGTGAGGGTGACTCAGATCTAGTAGACAAAATTGAAGATTGATATAATATTTTAAATTCTAGCGGAGAGAAGAGCAGGAGGTAGCTTGACAGCATTCTTCAAAGACATAAATAGTTATCCAAAGATGAAACAGTAACTCTTTCTTTATTTCCATCATAGATGGAAATAGGAGAAACAGACTTGCAGGCAAAATGATTTTGTTTAGACATTAAGAATACCTTTCTTAAAAGTAAGGATAATGTTGTGGAAAAGGATATCTGAGAGAAAAGTAGAGATTATATTAATGATATTTTTTACCAGCTACTTAAAAAATAAATCAAGAACAATATGGAGTTAAGCGGATCCTGGCCAGAAGTGTAGAGCAGACTGGATGTCCCATTGTGAAATTCTTCTGAGTTCTATGATACATAAGTATGTTAACATATATTTCCTATTTCTCACCACTTTGATTACTCCTATGTCAGAGTGAATTCCTTCCATTGGGGAACAATGTAGATAATTTCATTTACAGAAGCAGCTCCTGAAGAGCTGGGTTTTTTTGTTTTATTATTAAAGAAGTGACGTTCCCAGAATGTGAAAGGAAATATTGTTTATTAAAATGTCCAAGAAATATTCAAGAATACAAAAATCCAACATCTTAAATGCTTTATTTTGCTTTCATGAAATACATTAATTAGTTTATATTTATAAGGGCATTTATCTGCATTTATAAGTGCAGATTTAGATACATCGGTGTTTTTACGATTTGTGTAACTGTTGTTGAATGGACCACCAATTTCTCAGTTGACAGAAGGCATAGGTTGACATATGGTAACTTCAGAAACTCTCTTACTACAAGCATATGTATTTTTTGGCAGGGCATTAAATTTGAATCTCTTGTCCCAGTAGGAAGATTTTATTTACTGGCATGGGGGGGGGAGAAGTTACTGTACTTGGGTTTCCCCAGGAACAATTCCCTAGGAATTCAACTGAATTTCATCTCAACATCTGTGTGCTTCAGGCAAAAAAAATCTAAGCAGTACTTTTCAGAAAAGTTCTACTCCCATTTTTTAGTCTGGACACAATCAATACTGAATTAAAAGGAAAAACATTATGCCAGTATTGATCTTTCTTAAAGCTGCTGTTTCTGATGTTTAAAATGTACAGCAGTACTTGTGTTGAAGCCTCCTTTTGAATCTGTTTTGAAGAAGGTCCATTAGCATGACTATACAATTAAATAAAACAAAAAGGTTATGCGCCATTGATATTGATTTTTATCGTTCTTCTGCTCTGCTTAAAAAAGAAATGCAGGTAGAGTGGTGCAGATTGTCCTGGAACAATATGTAAGTTTCATGGTAGCATCCTGAAGTACTTTTTTTTTTTTTAAGCAAAATATTGTTGTAATGATTGGGAGTGTTTTCGATTCTCTCAGCTTTGTTCTGCAGTGCCTGAGCCCATATAACAATGTAAATGTCAAGAAGCTGCTATTGTGTACTGTCAGAGTTCTGTTGCAGAAAGCCTGTGTATTGTAATACTTTCTTTTTTTTCCATATGAATGGTAGAACTTGGTAGTTTTGTCAGTAAGTGTGACAGGAATAAAACAAGGGAAAACACATATTCCAAAATAGCTTAGAAAATAAAGTACAATTGATATTATTATTAGAATCTATTCTCACATAACTGCAGATAAAGGATTTTAAGTAGGTTACATCAACAACTTTTGAAACTCGTTTAAACACAGCTTCCAACTATTTAAGCTTTATTGGGCAAATTGGTGTCATATATAGTTTGCAAAAATTTATAGAGAGATTAAGCTTTCTTATGAAGCCACATAGGCTCAAAGTTCAAGTTCCTCCAGGCATTAGGCTTCTGAACATTCGTGGCTTCACTACTACAATTCCTCAGCCGGAAACATATCTCCTCGTGAAGTTACCTGTTACAGTCACTAAACAGGAAAAATCTTGCTTTGACTCTACTAATGTTTTCCCATCTACAATTTACTCCAAGAATATATATGTATGTACTAAATGCATGAGAGAATAATTAAATGTAGTCCCATAGGCGAATTACATCCTTCCCAGTTAGGTATTCAGAGGTCAGAATGAAATATCACACAAGATAGAAATCTAAGGTGAACTGACTTGCCAGACAAATTGCCCTTATTTTTAAAAAGTACCAGTGTCTGCATATTCACAAGCAAATCAAAAGTTGTTACCACACTGGAATTCTTACATTGTACTTTTTTCAGACAGTTGAAGTAAACTTACTGCTCTGCTCTAGCAGAGCACATTGGCATTGAAAGCTGAGCTTAAATGAGGCATGAAGATTCTCTCAAAAGATGGTTCTTTATGTTTCCTAATATTTTAGAGTGTTCAGTGTTGATCTCTAGTCAATAAAAATTCTTGTTGTTCCATCATATTTAATGCTCTTGAAAATCTGTTTATAAGATTTATATTTATCTTTTTACTAAGTTCTGAAAAAAATTATCTCTGATTTAAGTTATTTATTTAAAGAAATACCTCAAATAATTACATATGATAAGTATTTGTCAATGTTTAATTTTCTAAATGAATGAATGAGGAATTCTTCTATTTTATGCTAGCAGTGTTTTGGGAGTTTGAGCAGCATTGGAGATTCACCTTTCATTTCAATGCTCAGCCTTGTACATTATACACTGTGATATAGTGAGGAGTGTTTTGTGTACTCTCTGCCATTTTCCTGCTAAGATGTTCTGTTACTAAAACTTCTGGGTTTTCTTTGTTTGTTTTTTATTTGCTCCAGGCTACATATCCAAACAGAATGGTGAGCCAAAATCTCAGCACAAGGGACAGAAAGTCAGCACATATTCCCACCGAGGACCCTTTTAGATACTCAAACAGCCAAGCAACGGCCTATGAAAGCAAGAGCTGTCAACTGTCTAATTTGTGTCTGAGCAACCTCCTGAAAGAGAAGGAGATAGTGGAAGTCATCAAGCATACTAGAGGAGCCTACGAAGCCCTCACTTCGGAGGCCACCCAGAATGGTTTGGCCACCACGGCACCTAAAACAGCAAAGCCTGCATCTCAGACAGACCGCTACCCACCGTTCTCAGGAGCTCCAAAAGACCATACTGCTGTACCTCAGCAGCACACCACTTTCACAGGCAGACTTGGACAGCCTCCAAGGGGACCCATCTCTTTACATATGTACAGCAGGAAAAATGTTTTCCTTCACCACAATTTACACACAACAGAGCTGCAGACTTTAGGTCAACAAGATGGGTAGCAAGGTTCTTGTCTTCTTGCCATAGAGTGCGAGTTCACTGCAAGGAAACATAAGCTCACACAGAGCTGAATAATAAGTTTTTACCTACTGCTACCTTTACTTGAAAAAAATAAATTAAAAATTAATGTTCTCAAGGTTTCATACTTTCCCATCTGGAACTGTAGGAAAAGGGTAAACTAGATTGCTACATAACTAGGTTGATTTGTCACACAAAAGTCACTATGGTAGAATAAAAGGGACTGTTGGGCTGGCATTGCTGGTCCAAAGTTGGCTGGTTTTTTTTTTCTTTTGTTTCTATAAAGCCGCTAACATCCCCTGAAGTTCTAGAAAGTGGTCTTAAATAATAGTGTATGCTTAATAATGTTACTGTTAAAGTAGATGTGAGGAATGAATAGATAAATAATTAGTAAACCCTATTGAATTACATAGAGAGTAAAGAAATAAAGAGTAAGAAGTCTCTGAACCTCTTAAACCTACAGTGAAATTTGCTCATTTGTAGATGTGTGTTACCACTTCTTGCTGTACATGTTTAATCAAGGCCTCATGCCACAATTAGAGGAAGTGACATTTCTTCATCTACAAGAAAGATCACAGAGGCTCACTGGGTAATTGAATCAGAATAATTGGAACAGAAAGTAATGATGACAACTTGATTTCTCAACCTTCTTTTTCCTCTCCCTACCTTTTTTTAGCTACATTTGTTCTGGTCTTTTTGTTCTGCAAGCACACATCACGTTGAGGTGATGGTTGTTCTCTGCAGACGCTATATCGCTCATGACACAATGTCACAGTCTATGTTACCAGGGCTGCTCCGAAAGTAATGCTTCCTGTTTTATTATGTTAGCATGTGGTATCAGAAGTGGATGTTAGTGGTATGATAGAGGTTGATCCTTTCCAACAGTATTCCATTACATTTTGTTGCCATGCAACAGATGGCAGCAGAAGAGCAATCTGAAAAAATGGTGTCTGATGGAAGTATACACAAAGCAAAGGTGTATGAATTCCTTCATGTGGAAAAAAGGCACCCATTGACATTTATCGATCTTCACTGAGCAGTTATGGAGACAAAACAGTGCATGTGAGCACAATGAGGTTATGAGTGATGTGCTTCAGCAGTAGTGATGGCAACAGTGGTTTACCCCTGCTGGTGCAGATGTTTAGGAGCATTGCATGCAGGCTCTTGTTCATCACTGGTAAAAGATGTATAGCTAAGGGTTGAAAACTAGTATTGTGTAGCTGAGAATTTGCTCTATCGATAGTGTTATTATGCTCTTTGTATCTATTGTAGTTTCCATGGAGATAAAAAGCATTCCTTTCAGAGCAGCCTCTATATAATGGATTGTATAACTTCATTTCACTTGCTGAATTAAAAAAAAAAAAAAAAAAAAAAAAAAAAAAAAAAAAAGTGAAAGATTATATTAAGTGAAATTATCATATTACTGAGTCTAAACTATCTGTGTAAATCATAATTTCTGTGGACCATATCTGCACTTCATGGCGTATAGTAACTCAATAGGTTTGCTAGTCTTGACATGTTAAATGCAAGTGAGATGAAGCAAATACTACCTGACATGCAGCTTGCCGATCTCATGGGAACGTGAATTCATTTGATCATGCTACAGAACCCAAAGGCTTGTCAGCACCAGAAGAACTGGTTCTCCCCTTTTATAGGGCTTGAAAACAAGTATCATGGACAGGATGCTGTAAAATGTGGTACATACTGAACATGACAGTTTGCAACCTCTCTTATGGCAGCTAATCTGTTTGAATGATATTAGGATGTATAGTTAGTAGCTTATAAATAATCTGGATGTTTAAATATGACTGAGACAGATCTGAGACAAGTCACACCTCTGTTTAACTGGTGATAGATAATGAAAGGCAAGGGAATAGCACATTCTCACACAAAGAAACAAACTGGTGTGACAACTAAAGTAGCAAACGATGCAAAAAGATTTTGTAACTTCTAGTAACTTTTAAAGGTAAGTGACACAGGGCATATAAAAGGAATTAATGAGACAAATCCTACCTAATGTTAAACATATCTGCTAAACTACTTAATATTTAGATGAAGGCAAGGGTTGGATACGTTAACAATTAGATTATGAGCTTGACAGATATTCTGCAAAGTTCAGCAGCCTAACCTTTCAGAATTCTATTTCTTGAGGGTTTTAATTAGAGCAGAGGAAATTGAATAATGTTATCTGATGTTGAAAAGACCCAGTTTTGTCTAAGTATGTTATGATGATAATTTTGAGTGTCCTGAGCTGGATACATAAGAATCAGTATAAGCATTTGCCAAATGTTTTTTGTGATTTTATACATTTATGTGTATATTGCCATTGCCAAAATAGAAAAAAAAATTGCAAACACAGCTTGACCGAATTAACTATGGGTTTTAAAGACTCATAGGCCTGCACTGAAACTGATAGTTTAAACTCTACCAAAAAGAAATGGTAATGACAGAATTTCACTATTAAGACTTATCTTTTTCTCTGAGCAGTCTCTTACAGTCATGGTAGATTGAAAGCACAGTCAGTTATTGATAACAATATATTTCAGTCTTGCTAATCTCAAGAATTGATGTATGCAATTATATTTCAGATCTGTACATAAATTAACATATACTGCAATCAAGGGTATTTTTTCCAGGACACAGATATGCAACAACTACATTTAAAAAGAAAATAATAATAAAAAAGAACAAAACAAAACAACAGCAATTAAAAAAAAAAACAAAACAAAAAACAACCTATTTAATTCTAACTTTATACTGTATCTGTAGTTGTTTTTTTTTCCTTGAAAAACAGACTTTTGGATTACATTTTATTAAATAAATCCATCTACATATTAAAAAGAAAAATAAGAAAACAAAGAAAAAGAAAAATACATTTTAAATGCTACTATTTTCTTGGAAAATATTTTATAAAGCTGAATCTTAAAAAAAAAAAAAAAAAAAACTGGAAAAAAAGAACAGTTCAATTAAAGTGAGGAATATTTTTAAAATGTCATCTTGAAACTGTTTTGTATCAGTATTTTCAGCACTGTTATTTGTAATACTAAGTGTAAATCTCACCCAGAGAAGGATATTAGCCACATGTTAATATACAGTATGACAGTAACTGTAAGACAGAGGTCCTTTGTTTGATCCTCTTGTGTGCATACTAAATCATAAAGCAATGGCATGTGGACATTCTTTCAGTAAATTGATTCCTTTGTATTAAAAATCTCTAGTTTTTTAAGAGTTTCATGTATAGAATGATTTATACATTTCTCCAAGGCTGTACATATCCAAAGACATGACACCAGGGGAAAAGACATTATTTTTGCCACAGAAGTACCTTTTTTTTTTTTTTTTTTTTTTTTTTTTTTTTTTAATTAAAGTTCCTGTATGTTAAGCATAACTGTAAAATTTCTACTGAAATTTTTCTTCTTGTTACTTTCATATTTTATGGTGTTATAGAGGGCATTTTAAGAAGGAGGAAATCCCTAAAGAAAAGCTGCTTTGAAGCTTTGAATCAGTATCCCATTTTTTGAAGCAGCCACTTGGCACAAGAAACATTATATGTGCCCTAAATACTTTTCAATGATACACATTGTATGGGAACTGCTGAATCACAGCCTGAGCCTCTGATTGACCACTTGAGGCGAGCAATGAGTCAGCCATGGGAGCACAGGTGAAGGCAATTCACCTGTGCTACTGAAAGGGGTGGAGTTTTGCTCCACTTCTCCTAGACCCCATTTAAGAGCTGACTACAACAGGGGAAGGATCTCTTTTGGAGATCGCTTCTCTTAGAGTTTTCTCAGCAAGTCCACAATAAGGGTAAGTTTTCCATCCGTTTTTCTTTAGCACAGTAGCCTGTTTAGCCTAACTTTCATGTGTATTTTTTAATTATAACATCCATGTATTCATTCATTATACACGTGTGAAGTGGTGTATTGTCTTCATTATGATCTTTACTTCCCTAGAGTAATTACATTCTACAATATACATTTTATGCAATCACAGGATGGCTTGGGTTGGAAGGGACCTTAAAGCCCACCAAGTTCCAACCTCCTTGCTATGGGCAGGGTTGTCATCCATGGGATCAGGCTTCCTAGAGCCTTATCCAACCTGGTTGCTGAGTAGTATGCAATAATATACTAGGACCAATCTTAATTATAAATTAATAAGATGGAAGGAAAGCACCCGTCCAGCACAGTTCTTTTCTTTGGTTTTCAAAACACTGGAAGAGTTGTTTTTTGTTTTGTTGTGTTTGTTTGTTTGTTTTATTTCTGTATTACTTGTGTGTGTGTGTGTGTGTGGATTAAGTAGAAATGGTAATTCTATACTGGAAGAAAAAGTCTTTCCACAAAAATCCCTCCATGTTAAGGGAATTTGGTAGAATCAGAAAGTATTCCATAGGATGAATTTTTGCTTCTATATACAAAACGAAACAGATAGTGAAGGTTCTTTTTTTTTTTTAAAACCCAGGCATTTTTGTTAATTGCTTTTACTTCCAGAATACACACATATATGCCAAATGGGCTTTTCTTATATGTCTTTCTTTCTGATAGCTTTGATATTAAGTTTTTCCTGACTAAGATTTTTGCATATTTGGAGCATTTGAAAGCTTACTTTGGCTTTTCAGGTTTGTCACGCAAGTGCATTCTAGTCGCTACCTAAAAATTGGTGACATCGTCTTTCCCAAAAGCTAGCAATTTCTGACTGCTCTTATGGCGTAACTGTTATGTCTTCACTGGTTTGATCAGCACACCATTGACCTTAATTAAGTCACACTGAGTGCGTCACCTGATAACTGGAATTGTGGCCCTTCATGCACAAACTGTCTCAAGTTATGTGGAAAAGGAGATCTCAAAAATTTGATCCAACAGAAACACCAACTCACAATCTAGGAAAAATTTAATCTTTTTTTCTTTCTTTGTAGTAGTATTCAGAAATAAAATAACAGAATACCGTCAACAAAACAACCACAGCAGCAACAAAAACACCAGAAAACTTCTTATACAATTCCAAAGATCATAAATGAAATCCCCTCATGCAGTAGAGTAACGGTAACTTCTAGCAAAACTTTAAAATACATCTGAAAATCCACTGCAGTCTTCTTACAAAATTGTGGAGTGACTGGAAAAATGAGGGTCTGTATCTGAGTGCATTAATGAAATATTTCACAGCCTCTTTTTTTTCGAAGTCTACTGATGATTATTTATTTATTTACTTATTTTCTGAAGGAAAACTTGCAGTTTGATGCTTATGCCAGATAAAATATAGAATACAGTTTGAATGTATGCTGAGGAAAGTGATGGGGGCTTCTCTCATCTTGGAGGAATGTATAGTGTCCTCTCTAGGACTCATTTTAATCTTCTGCTGTCAGCAAGAACTTGGCAGAA